CACACTTGAAACAACGGACACAGACAACAATACGCCCTACAATGCAGTCGCATGCATTGAACAACCAAGACACTTAAAGACTAAAGAGATATAAAACCTATTCAGTCCAAAGTCCTTGGAACAAAAGTCTGAATGATACTCTTCCGAGAATCACTCACTCAAAGTCCAGCGTTGTTGTCGTTCCGCAGCTCTCGAAGTTCTCTCCCAGGAAACCTCCCGTCTTCAATTGGCCACTCTTCAAACTTCAACTTCTTCGCCGGAAATCCGTCGGCTTCCCACGCGCAGCTGTTGCCCGCGTCTTCGCTCGATAGCGGTAAACCCACGCTCTTGCCTGTAGCTCGAGCCGTCCCTACGGACCAAAAACTTCGCCGACTACACGGCGGAATCTCTACGCACTCTGGCGCTCACTTCCGTCTCCTCCTGTTCTGTCACTACGGGCAGAACCTTCACCGACTACACGGCGGAATTCCTACGCGCTCTGGCGTTAACTTCCGTCCCCTCCTGATTTCTCGTCTCGGCCGCTCGGTTAAATACCTTGCGCGCGACATTCCAGATGTTTCTTGTCGTTTCGTCGGCGCGATGCGCAGCGAAGGCTGGGGAGAGGCACGAGACGGTTCGACTGCCCTCTCCCGAGGATGATCCACTCGGTCTGACCCCGCCTCCTTCGTTCGAGAAAAATCGCGGTCTTGCTGGGCCGCCGATGTGGGGTGAGGAGGATCGTCTGCGAAGCCGTGCTTCTGCGGGGAGAGCGCGCGCCCGGGAGCCCTGGATGTTTGCTTTCTTTTTTTTTTCTTTTTACCTCGCGGCGTTTCTGCCGCCCGTTGTCGCAAGTATTTGGCGGCGCGCTCTTGTTTAGCGCTCGTTCTGTGACAACAGGGATGATTTGTTTTCGCACATTGTTGCACAGGTGACGACGCTTCATAGTTTCCGCAATTGCAGAAAATACACAGTGGTGCCACCACTCCTTCTTTACAAAAACTGAAAAAAATTGACGCAATCAGCTTACTCCAGTTTTAGAAAATGTTGACTACCATTTTCGAAGTCAAAAATGGAATTTTTAATGTTGAAATTCATAAAATATAGGCCACACTTACAGTTGGCATATACTGTGAAACACTCACTACAGTAATAAGTACGATAAACATTGACGTCGCGAGTTTTCATCCGAAATTGGCCTCCTACATGACAACATGCATCCTTGCACCACAATCAGAACCGATGGGAAGATCAAATATTTTCGTAGGGAACACTAATTGCTTGCCCTGCTGTCTTGTGCCAGCACCGTGTGATTATTTTCTTTTCTTTCACTCGAAACAGTGGCTTGGGGTACCATTTGAAGACAGTGAGAAATTTAAGATCATCGTTCACAACAGGTTCTATTACCAAGCGGTGTGATCTTTTATTCAGATTAACTAAAGAAACTACTGCGACGGTACGAGAAGCACTAAGAAGTTAGCAGTGATTCTGTAGAAAAGTGAAGTAGGCTTTTGCTAAACTAAGCCCACTAATAAAAACTTTTGCTAATGAATATTTACTTGCTTGGAACCAAATGGCCCTTACTTTTTGAATGACCCTCAAAGTTTTTATGCTTTGCATTGACAGATGAATAAATTAATTTTTTTTCCTTTTTTGTGCCAATGGTGCATAGTCATCAAAGACACTGCTCAAACAATGAACAATGGCAGAAGCTGATATCACATTTTTATTCTTCACTACTTTCTAACTGTCTGCCTCACTTTTAACACGAGTATCATACAAAACTAGTCCTTTTGGCTACATATTTCACAGCAATATCAAGAAAATAGCTGTTAGTAGACATTCGAATTATCAACATGTACAAACACTGGCCAACTTTAATTATACCTACTGAGTGCACTCAGTCATTGTTCTGTTAAAAATTAACATACCTTTAAAAATGTCTTGTCATACGTCAGGTATTTTACACAGAACAACTAATATTACAGTAAAAGGTCGTTATTTGAACTCTGTTAAGTAAAAGCACATAGCCCTATGTATTTCTATTGGGAGAAATCTCTCGACAATTTGAACACATTGGTATCCACAACAGCTAATTCAAACTGGGAGCCCCTTGTTTTCGTTGCTGCTCGCACAAGTCTGTCCAGAGTGATCCCAACATTTTGCAAAATCAAACCAAACTAAATTTACTAGAGGAGGAAAACAACCCAACAGCAGCGTTTCTCAGCAGATGAGATTTCGGATGCTGAACTCGAGCCCTTGGACGAGCTAGGAATGATAGTCATGGAGTAACAGTGAAATAAATGCAAGAAAATGCAAATTATTGATTACTTTTCATTTTGATTGCATTAACTCTGTCATGTAAACAAACATGTTTTTGATGCATAAGTATTGGCATACGTTTCAACATTAGGGTTCACTGCTTGTGTGCATGTCGGTGCTTGTTTTTGGCGTATCATCAGCCTGCTTACACCCACTGCAGGACAAAGGCCTCTCCCATGATCGGCCAATCAACTTGGTCCTGTGCATTCTGCTGCCACGTTATACGTACAAAGTTTTTAATATCATTGGCCCACCTAACCTTCTGTTTTTACTTCATGCGTTTTCCTTCTCCGTGAATCCAGTCAGTTACCCTTAATGACCAGCGGTTATTCTGCCTGCGTACTATGTGCCCAGCCTATGTTCGTTTCTCCTTCTTGATTTAAACTACGATATCTTCAACACCGATTTGTTCCCTTACCCACTCTGCTCTCTTCTTGTGTCTTAACTTTACACCTATTATTTTCCTTTCCATCGCTTGCTGCGTCGTCATCAATTTAAGCTGAACCCTCTTTGTAAGCCTCCGTAGGTAAGTACGGGCAAGACACAGCTGTTATATATGTTCAGCTTGAGAGTTAGTGACAGATTATCATTCGTGATTTGAGAATGCTTGCCAAATGTGATCCACCCATTTTTATTCTTCCTTATTCTTCTAGGTATTTTACTGTCATGGTTCGGCTCCGCGATTGCTACCTCTGCAGGGCATGTCTTGCTTAATGAAGGCACGAGTTCTTGCACAGTTTTTTCAAGTACTTTGACAGTGTGACTCCCAACATGCACACGGTATCAGTAACTGTTTCAACACTACTATAGCTCTACCTACCACTGCCTTGCACAGTCGTTACATTCACAGCAATCTATACACAATGTGAAAAAGAAGTGCTGCTAAATATGCACTACTAGAAGCCCATTTGTTACCTAGTTATATGTGATACTCTATCGAAAGTGCGAAACGTAGCGTGAAATACTGTATGTGCACCCCATGACATGCACTGTCCAAGAATTTTGAAGCCTGCACGTTTCCGGTAAACTGAGTAGTTCATAAAGCAAGAAACAATAATCTGTGCACCCAATGTCGTACAGCTTGAACATACCGTACGCTATCACTGCTTTTCGGCATATGGCTTCCATTTGTCCGCCTGGCATATTGGTGGCGCATAGGATTGTCACAATGGCAACTGTAGAGCTTCTTACGACTGGATGTGGGTAGCTTGGAAATCAATGGTCTCTCTTTAGTCCAGTTTTCTGAGAAGAAAAAAAAACAGACTCATGAGCAGGGCACGACAGAAATGATTCAACAAATTATGTTCAATAAATAAAATATCTTCAACCATACCTTGCGAGGGTTTTGGCCCATGAGCTTGCTTTCGGTGATGACACATTCTTCACTGACTTGAGATAGGTTCAGAGTGGTGAGGCATCCAAGCGTACACTGGTATGAGCAGTTCCTTGGAGGCTGCGGTTGGGTTGTAAGAAAAAAAAAAAAACAGTTCTAGTTACTCTGATAGAAACGTGAACAGATTTGTGATGCATGACTAAAAAATATGTATATGGGAACACTGCATATAAGAAAGGTAGTGTGGACATAACATTGCTGTTTTTGTGAATTTGTCTTTTGATGGCATTATAATGGATTTGTTTTAGTGACGTTCTTCAGAGGACAAAGCTAGGTAATTCCCCGACTGGATGGACTATATGGTTCGTGCAAATGTAATATGCTTCATTGCAAACTTACGAAAAATGTACAAATGCGTATATGTACTAAAGGTTCACTTGGCTCTACTATGTATTGAATTTATGAGTATATATTGCAGCAGACTCATTTTGAGCAAAAATAGGTAGAACGTATGCTGTGATCTGTGCTACAAATTTTAGCAGTAAAAATATTTTCAGCGAATGTGACAACGAAGTAAACAATCTCAAACATTCACAAGGTGTGCATCTAATTATCTGTATAATTCGAAAAGCCTTATGAAATGACAAAAACTGTAGCGAATGCAAAAATAAAGAACCATGTTCAGATGCAAAGCAGTGTATTTTCATTCACCGGCGAACACGCCCACACTGTGCAAGATTATTCCGTCTTTGTAGGTAGTCTTCGAGCGATTTGCCGGCGTTGAATTCTCACGCTGGAGGCTGCGCAGCCGGACGTCGGTGAAGCGCAGCAGCTGACATGGTTCACAGCCTCTAGACACCTTCGCTTCGTCGTAGCGGCCCGTAAAGTCTGACACACAAGCTCGCATTGATATATCAAAGCTGAATTAAAACGGAGCTTCGCGATGCCGATCGCCAAAAAGTACGCGGATACAGTGACTAGAATTCTAGCCACTGTGCCGCGGACAATTTGAACAAATTAATCGACAGAAACGCAATCGATGCCAATGGGCTGCTGCTTTTCGAGCGTTAGGATGGTCTCAGTACTTGCACTAAAACAAACACCGCTCCTATATTAATTATAAAAATAAAACAAAATATTTATTCAATTTTTTATGAAAAATGACGCAGTAATTGCTTTTTAACGGTGTTTTAATACATCTTAAAATAAAAATTTTAGCCGCGTTGAGAACCCCTGACAGGAAAAATGCACACTAACTTATCTTATCGCTAAAAGAGGAGTTAGTAGTTACACTATGTGCGCAAATGACGAAACTTGCCGTGGTCGATTTTTTCGCCCTCTACTGCCATTGCGGTAACTTGAGAGTTTCCGGGACCTGGTGCGGCTTAGCCTGGTGGCCTGGTAGGAGTTTTGTGGGCTGTGGCCCAACTAGGTGCTGTGTGGTGCTGAGGACAGGTGTTCTGTACAAGGTGCTCGTTCTCTACCGCCGTGTCAGATCTCTCGTGTAGGTGTTCTGGTGCTGAGGGCTACTACTGCTTTTCGGTGCTTGCTCTGCTCACTTTTAGTTTGTGGTCAAATTTGGTAACTATAAGCCTGTACAAAAGTCACTTGCGTCGTTGCTTCTCAGAAATTGGGACAGCCCGCGTTCGACGTGTCCCCTGTCGTTTGGTGGGTGCGTACTCCTGTTCACATCATGAACGTTAGTATCGCAGACATATGCCAGAACACCCGCATGGGTCGTGAATGCGCTCTCTTGGGCAACTACGAGTCGGCGATCGTCTACTACCAGGGCGTCATACAGCAGATACACCGACTTGTGCAGACTGTCACGGGGGATCGCAAGGAGCGCTGGCAGCAGGTGCGTGCTTTTTTTCCCCTCCTCCCGCCGTTCATTTTCAAGCGCCTTTTTTTCACGGAATGTGTGGTTAAGCACAACTAGGAGGAACAAGCTACCAGATAAAGGGTGCAGTGTGGATGACACATAGTGAGTGGGTTATTCGTTGTGCAAGCACAAAAACACGCCAGGCCTGCCCGGAAATCGCAGCCAGTCACAGCGGAAGCTAGAAGAGCGGCCTTTCAGAGCTTTTTCGAAACACTCATTGGGTAACTGCTGCAAGGACTCTTGCTGGGTACCCACTACGGCATTAACAATAATGGCAAGGTTCTGTTTGGCGAATAATAATTTCTAGGTAGTAGGTAGGCATTCGCTATGCCATCCTTTGTCATTCTTTTGAGAATTGTTGTATCCGCTAAACATTTGAAAGGAATTTTGTGGCAATTCTTCATGCAGTGTCTGATAACGATGAGGAATTATGCCAAAAGTGGGCATGTGCCACAGTGAATAGGTGATTAAGAACAAGCTTCTGTAATGGGTTGGAGCATTGAACGACCGACTTGTTGCGCTACTCGCATTGTGTGACGCCTAATTGTTATTTTGCTGTTCTGAAACGCTCTATTACTCATTATAGCGAGATTTCTTTCCTGACATCAAGCCTGCATCAAGTTTGCGAACAAGTCCCAAGCACCGGCGTGGCACAGTTAAGTTGGCTAAAAGTGGGAGGTGTGATGAGCGCGGCGCTTTTCGCTTGCCGGAGGAGGTACTTCGGCGCGCCGATGACGTCAAGCAGGGATGCAGGGAACGATTATGGTTAAAAGGGAAAGTAGGTGGACACTTCTTGATTTGATGTACTTGTGGGTGGGAGCAAAGGCCAAAGAAGAGAACCAGGCAATAGTGGAATGCATCACAAGTGACATTGAGAAATTAGGAGGAGAGTGCGAGATAATTAGACTAGGAGATATGAATGCACACATAGAAGATATATATAGGTATACGGACCCAACAGGCAAAATGATCATGCATATGTGTGAAAGGCATGATTTGATCATTTGCAATAGTGCTGAGAAGTGTGAAGGGCAGATAACATGGGAGGTAGCAAGGCTGCAGTCGATGATAGATTATGCACCCATGTCACATAGGATGTATAATAGGCTCAGGGGAATGCACATAGATGAAGGTGGCTCCAGAAGTCCGGGTAGTGATCACAAACATATCAAGCAAAGTTTTGGAAGAGCAATGAAAGTGCGAAGGAGACAAGATGAGCAACTACAGGGGAATTTTTTATCCACAAAAGCAAATAGAAATAGCCACTAAACAAATTGAGGAAGTAATCACGGATGATAATAAAACAGTCTGGATGTACACGAATCTAATTAGACTGACTGAGCTAGAGCTTGCTGAGGCACGTAACAAGTCATCCCGGAAAAGAAGACACAACCCCAAGAGTTCGAGGGATGAGGAAGTTAAGAGAGCCATAGAAAAACGTCGAAAAGCCTCTAGGGAACAAAGACATGCTTAGCAGCGGGGTGAACCAACAGATTATGTTGAAAGAAAATGGGACATCTTTCTAAACTGTAGAAGGGAAGCATCCCTTCTGATCAATGAAAAGATTAGAAGCAAGGGGTCTCAGTGCCTGGCAGAAGTACATAAAAAAAATAGAAAGGCAGCTACAAAATTTTGGAACCATCTAAACTCCCTAATGAATGAGACAAGCCTAGAGCAGACGTCTATAACTACAGCTCAAGGTGTTAGGCTAGAAGGGGACGAAGCTATTAAATATATAAGAACAAAGCTGACAGAAAAATTTCAACAGAGAAGTGCCATATGCACCTTCATAGACAAGGATAAATCAAGTGGCACAGTGGCTCCATTTTTACAAAGAGAGTGGGAAAGGGCTGAGAAGAGGGTTCCTAGTAGTACATCAACAGGTCCTGATGGCATCCCAGTTATGCTGATAAAGGAATTGGGTCCCAAGTCTAAGCAGACTTTGAGAGAGATAGCGAGCAAAACAATAATAGATTGTGAAGTCCCTGATCAATGGATGGAAACTTAGCGGGATGAGCATGATCTATAAAGGAAAGGGGGACAAAGCTGACATAAACAACTACCTCCCTATAACAGTGACATCAGTGGTCTACAGGCTGGCAATGCAGATTATAAAGGAAGACTTGCAGGCATTAATAGAGGATGAGGAGGCGCAGGGGAACTGCAGAATGAGTTTCGGAAACATATGAGGTTGGAAGACAATCGGTTTTCACTGCCGCAGTGCATCGAAACAGCAGAAAAGGAACACAGGCCCCTGTGGCTAGGATTTTTGGATATCAAGGGAGCGTACAATAGCGTGGTTCAGGAGGACTTGTGGGGAATACTGGACACAATAGGTGTGGAAGATGGAGTTACCAATCTTTTAAAGGATATCCATAAAGGCAACAAGGCAGTTATGAAGTGGAAAAAACAAGTATCCAAGCCTACAGAAGTTATACGGGGGCTTAGGCAGGGGTGTCCTCTGTCACCCTTGTTATTAATGATGTACCTACAAGGATTAGAGGCCAAACTAGAGGGAAGTGGACTGGGCTTCAACCTCTCTTTCGTCAAACAAGAAAAAATCATTGAACAGGCACTACCAGCATTGATGTACGCAGATGATATAGTGCTAATGGCCAACAACAAGGAAGATTTGCAGAGATTGATGGACATCTGCGGTAATGAGGGAGATAGGTTAGATTTCAGATTAAGTAAAGAAAAATAAGCAGTGATGATTTTTAATGATAATGAAGGTAGGGAGCTTAGAATACTGGAGGTCACGCTAGAGATTACAGATAAATGCAAATATCTGGGCATATTGATAAGCAATAGGGTCGAGTACGTAAGAGAACACGAAATATACGTGACGACTTAAAGTAACAAAAATGGAGCGGTGATGAAAAACAGGGCACTCTGGAATTACAATAGGTATGAGGTTGCGAGAGGAATATGGAAAGGGGTCATGGTTCCAGGTCTGACGTTCGGCAGTGCGGTCTTGTGCATGAGATCAGAAGTTCAAGCAAGGTTAGAAATGAAGCAACGTGGAATAGGTAGGCTTGCCTTAAGAGCTCACGGGAATACACCAAATCAGGGAGTATAAGGTGATATGAGATGGCCATCATTTGAGGGCAGGGAAGCTGGCAGCAAAATAAAGTTAGAGAAGCGATTGAGAGAAATAGGGGAGGAGCGTTGAACTAGGAAGGTCTGCAGCTACATGTATATGAGGAATGTTGTTACGAAATGGAGGAAGTGAAACACAAAATACACGGGCAAATACGTAAAAAAGTGTATGGGACTAAACCAAAAAGAACTACCGGTTAAGAAGAAGGTGAAAAAAAAAAAAAAAAAACGGAGAGCGACATGTGGAAAATGGGCATGATTAAGAAGTCTGCACTAGAGATCTGTCCAACCTTTAAGTAGGAAATTGCCAAGGAAAGGATCTATGATAATACTCGCGGTAGTTCTTTTCTGTTTGAGGCCAGAATGGGAGTATTGCGAACCAAGACTTTTCGAGCCTAATACGAAGGGGTATATGCAGTGCTTGTGGAGAGGGAAAGCTCCTCTGGAGGGTGTGTGGAGAGGAGGAAACTGACGAACACTTAGTAATGTTCTGTATAGGGCTTCACCCTATAGTTTAGGATGATGGCGCTTAGTTTTTCAAAGCCCTGCGATTTAACTACAAGGAGGGCAAAATAGACTTTAAGTGGGTAGAAATAACTAGGAGGAGGTTATCTGATTGGTGACTAAAATAAAGGCACGAGTGAACATAAATCCTGCACTGCTAAGTACCAGTCCACAACTTCGCTACTTCAGGGAAAAAAAAAGAAAGATAAATCCAATTTTGTGGTTTACTAAGTATTACGGCTAGGTGGCGTTAGCCGTTGCCCGATCATAATGGTATAGCTATATCAATCCATTCATCCATCAATGCTAGGGGCACTGATGGCAGTGGCGCACTTCGCAGGATCTTCCTCAGGTGTGCGACTTATTATTATTTTTTTTTCACAGCCGGTAGCTGCTTTACAAGTACTTCATCAACCGGTGCTTGCGCTCGATTTCTCTGAAATGCCTGAAGATGTCAACGCCAAAAAAAAAAAGATGCAGTGTCGCTGAATCGAGCCTAGCTGCAACACTTGATTCCTCAGCTCAGCCTCTTAAAGGGGCCCTGAAACACTTTTTTGAGTAGCCATGGAATTAATTCAGTGGAAAAGCATATCGCCTCACAGATTCTCGGCCTCTTAAAGGGGCCCTGAAACACTTTTTTGAGTAACCATGGAATTAATTCAGTGGAAAAGCGTATCGCCTCACAGATTCTTGGCTTCTTAAAGGGGCCCTGAAACACTTTTTTGAGTAACCATGGAATTAATTCAGAGGAAAAGCGTATCGCCTCACAGATTCTCGGCCTTTTAAAGGGGCCTTGAAACACTTTTTTTTAGTAACCATGGAATTAATTCAGTGGAAAAGCCTATCGCCTCACAGATTCAATGCCGCAATGATATTAAAAATTCGTCCAGTACTAGCGGAGTTTAAGATTTTTCACACGCTGCAATTGCATTCTCTCTTCTCTTGTCCCGCGAAATCGCTGGATGTCAAGCAGGGAGGGTTGGGAGGGGCAAACCAAGAACGTCACTGCACCTCGTGACCTTGAGCACTTTTTCTTTGAATACGCAGCTTTTTCAGTGCAATCGTGCGCACATGCGTAGACAAGTGACGGCCTCTCATGACAATCTGTCAGAACCGAGCGCACCATGTTCAAATCAGTCATTGGCTGATAGATGGGCAATCTACGTGTGATTTTTGAGCGTCTTCCGTCATTTGTCGAGAGAAGAGAAAGCCATTTTTAGCTCACTTTGGTAATTACTTTTGAATTCCCGTCCGCGTGCTTTGCTATACCATTTCGCTCGCATGTTCTCGGGAGCCTCTACTACCGATTGGCAGCGTTTTCTGACCATGCTCAAGAAGTGTTGCAGGGCCCCATTAAAGAGCCCAAAGGGTGC